TCCTTCCCTCTCATCAGCTTCATCATCCTCCCCATCTCACTCCACTTCCCCTCTGAGGCATATATACTAGCCAACTGCACGTATCTCGCCCCAGTTTCCCCTTCAATCCGCAATAGTGCCTCCTCTGCTGTTTTTGCAAGTTCGGTGTTCCTGTTCATCTTGCAAGCATTCACAAACGCACCCAAAACAACTGCATCTGGTTCAAAGGGAATTGCTCCCATTATGCCTACTGCCTTTTCAAGTTGATTCCCCCTTCCGTACAAATCAATCATACATGAATAATGATCAATATCAGGTGAGATGTTATATTCTTCTATCATTGAATTAAAAAACTCTTCCCCGGTTTTTATTAGGCCCCTGTGACGGCACATGGAGAGAATGGCAAGGAACGTCACTGCATCTGGTTGAAAACCTCTAACTTTCATTTCTCTGAAAAGTAGAAGGGCTTCATTTTCATAACCATGGTGAGCATAACCACCTATCATCGTAGTGTATAAGACGGAATCTTTTCTTTCACACTGTTGAAATATGATTTCCGCATATGATACACTTCCACATTTCGAATACATATCAACCAAACTGTTCGTTAGTTTCTCATCCATCACAATTCCAATTCTTAACAAATAGGCATGTGTTCCCTTTCCATGACCTAAAGCTGCACACACTGCACAGGCGCCAAGTACGTTTAGGAGAATTAGAGCATCAGGGGCGACAACATTCTTCATGAACTCCTTAAAAAGGTGAAAAACTTCATCGCATTGCTGAGATTTCATATAACCTGACATTATAGCTGTCCAAACCACGGGATTCTTTTCAGCCAAAGAATCAAATAGGTGTCTAGCTGCTAACATGTTACCATCTGCAGAATACCCCACCACCAGCGACGTGATGGAAAAGGGATTCTGTCCCTCAATAGTTTTGTGAACAGATTCAGCATATTTCAAATTACCGCACCTACAATAAACATCAACGATGCCACTACTTATAAATGGATTAGAAACTGCCCCTTTCTTTGTAACCCAGGCATGAATCTCCTTCCCAAGCTTCAAATCCTTGAGACTAGCACAAGCAATCAAAACACTTGAATAACTGTGTTCATTCCAAGAAAGACCCTCCTCTTCTGCCATGAGTTTGAACAATTGGATTGCTTCCTTCTCATATCCATTATGAGCGTATCCTGAAATCATTGTATTCCAGGAAATAGCGTCGTTCAAATCTGGGTTTCTCCAAAAGATTTTATGAGCCATCTCCAGTTGGCCTTCTCTGACACATGCTGCTACAAGTGCGTTCTTCGATACCAAGTCCGCCGCTTGACTATCACATGCACTAAACACTGCACACGCATCTTGAAAAGATCCACACTTTGAATACATATCAATCAGAGAACTAACTGAGAATAAACTAATATCATTGCAAGTCTTGAACATATAGGAATGCAGCTGCTTTCCATAAGACAGGGCACCCAGCTTTGCTGTCAGACCAAGCATCAGTGTTAGACTAAACCCGTCTATTCGAGCATTATCAGTCTCATACTGCATTGCAACAAATACTCCAACAGCTTCATTTTCATACCCGCTGTGGTTTACATAGCCAGAAAGCAACGAATTGTAGGTAACAGAATCTCTCTGGGGAGCAGCATCGAAAAGCTTACGTGCACAGACGATATTTTTGGCTTTCACTTGGGCATTTATAATGGTATTCCAGGTGAAGACGTTTCGTTCTGGCATTTCTTCAAACACATTAAGAGCTTCTCGGATTAGACCATGTTTGGAATACAAATGAATAAGTTGGTTTGCTGTGAGGATGGGAAGTGTAAAACCAGTTTTTACTGCGTGGGCATAGGATTTAAGCCCGTCTATAACCGACCTCATTTAGACACTAAATCGCAATGTCCATTCAATTATTCAATAATGTTGGGAAAACATAGCTGAGATATTGTTTCTTGGGCCTACAAAAAAGACTTGTAGATGAAGACATCAAACCTTTCCAGGAGTGGTTGTCCCGGGATTAGCAGGAACCGCAGGACTGCAATTTATATCCAACACCATACCCCCTATCACTACAGCCTCCGCCGCGGCCACCGCGGCTACCCCACCACTGGATTGACCCTCTTTACTCAGCCTCTGAAAAATACAACGATCAGCAACTATAGAATCCGGAATTTCGTAATAAATAATGTCAATCTTGGAGGGAAAGATTAAAAATCCAAGCTTTTAGGTCTTCACCTCCATTGATGAACCTTCTATGCTCTTCTGCGGATGAACAAATAAGGATCCCGCCAGGATCTTGATATAAATTATTAGCCAATGGGCGGGCTTGGGCCGGCCCAAATTTGATGGGTTAAACACTCTACTCTTAATCTTCCCGAAAAACACTCCATCCCGCCCCCCATACGAACTCACAGCCTTCAGTTACATCCCCAAACTTTATTTGACTTTTTAAAGAGTATTTTTGGTTGATGGTTCATATCCCTGTTAAACATAAGTTTTTTTAATCACAAACTTAAAATTAATGAATCATCAAAATAATGACTAAGACTATTCGAAAAACATTTCATGAACATGTGTCTCACCAAGTCTAATTAAGGTATGAAATTATGAATAATCACATTTTCACTATGCCGAACAAAAGAAATAAATAAAGTATAAAACAAAGACAAAATAGCAAAACAATCTTCAAGCACAAAACACCTGAATAAATATGACCAGCAATTAAAATGTTCACCCTATTTAATAACAATGGAGTGATTTCCATAACATTGATTATCAATATCATAAGATGACCCTAGCTACTTCCTACATCTCAACCTAGGAAGTGTAGTATATGTATATGTTCTTCATGATCACTTAATTAGCTTCATCTCAACTAGTCAACCCAATATAATATCGTCATCTTAATCATCACCTAGCTTGAATTAATTAATTCATGTTTTAGTCAAAATTTTAATAATGTAGATTAATTTAGAAAACTTTGAAGCTTTACAATGTTCTTAAGTAGTCTTTCCAAAAATCAACTCTGACTTCTAATACTATTGCCAAACGTGCCTTTGTTTTGCCATTGTTCGAAGTTTGTATACCTTCAATATTATGGAGTATGTAAATGAAAATTTTGTGCTTAAACTCGACCTACATAAGAACGTCAACGGCGCGGCCAAGGTAATTTTTTTCAAGTTGATTTGTGTCATTTTTTAATAAAGTTGAAATTGCCATTGAAAATTATTTTAAAAAAATACAAATGCACCACATAAAAGTTTTGATAAGAAAAAGAATAGTACCTCTATCCATGAGTATTTATTTAATTTTGTTTTTTTGCAGCTAACATTTTCAATATTCGACCTGTAATTAATGAAATTTATATCATATATTGAATAGTGTCCCGTTTGGCATCATCGTTTGAGGTTACCGTAAGTATTTTGAATAGGTTATATATATACGATAGCCTTTAGTGTTAGCGTTATCAAAATTAATCTATATTATTAAAATTTTGTCCAAAATGCTAACGTTAATAAAAAATGTGGTTCCCAAACAATGACTAGATAAAATAATAAACAAATCTCATAAAATTATTTTTGTATCAATATCTAATACATTTTTTACTAATTAGTGGTCAATGTTTGTCAATTTTAATTGCAAAATGTCAAAAGAAGTCAAATACATATGATTCAATGGCGGAGGTAATACGTAGTATGAAAAAATAAAAAAAATATATAATCCCTCCATTCTATATATTTTCTTACTTTGATATTTTCATTGTCCCAAAATTTTCATCATTATATTTTACCTTTTAGGAAAAAAGTTGAAAGGTTATTGTTACTCCACATTTATTTCTCTTTTTTTGCTCTATACAAATCATAACCACACATTCTATTTTATATAAAATTAGGCCAAATCAAATAAAGAAGAAAATTACTCCGTATATAATAGAGAGAGTAAAGAAGTTAAATTCCAACTATTAAGGTCCCTCGGTATTTGCCGTGTGATGAAAGAGTAATCTCATTCTAGTCGAAAAAGTATGTGTTCTGTCTTGGATACGTGCAAGCATCTCAAGTACGGAGTATAACATAACTACTCTATCCGTTCAACAATGATCTTTTCGTTTATTATTCACATAGTCAAACATTATACATTTTATTCACTTCTAGTTTTGTAGAATTTTTAATGTAGTTTTTAAATATGTAATTAATTACTCATTATTTTTCATATAAAATAATTTAAAAATCATTTTAATCAAATATTGTAACGTGTAAGAGAAAAAGTAATTATTGGAGGGGGTATTTTTTTAGGGAGTAAACTCTAATTCTATCTATTTTTTTGGACCAATTAAGTTATTCCGTGGCAATTAAAAATATGAGGATGTGGTTGTCATCACTCTACTTTTGGATATCATTGACTAATTGGTTTGAATTATGAATTTTTCCACGCATGCATTTCAAGCTAAGAATTCAACGTTGTATAAAGTTATAAACTACTCCCTAATTCCTTAAAAGATTGTCATAATTAAATTTTTTTAGTCAAACTGTGAATACTTTGACCAAAAATTAAATATTACAAGATTTTAAAATAATAAATAAATGTTACTCTTTCCGTCTCAAATTATAATGTTTGTTCACTATTTACATGGTTAAACTTCATTCACTTTCTTTCTATATTTTCGTTAGCAATTTGATAAAATAAATTACTATTGTCACAACTAGTTTTGTAGATCTTTTGATGTTGTTTTTAATATGTAATTTTTATTTTTTAGCTCTATACCATTTGTCATATAAAATGATTTGAATATAATTTCAGTAAAACATCGTAAACTGAAACAAGCACTATAAAATATAAATTGAGACGGAGGGAGTATAAAATTTTAATATTTCAAAATCATATCTTAAAATATACTCAAATTTACTAAATATATATTATAACTAAGTATATACAAGTATATATTTTCATAATTGGTACAGTGATAAAAAAATATAATAATTTGACTAAAAAAGCCAAACTGTAACAAGATATTAGGCAAAGTATAAACTAACACACTTATTGTCAGACTTGAGACTTTGAGAGTGTGTGAAGTGTGAACCGCATCCGGTTATGGGTAACACGTGCATAAACTAATGGTATTTGTTTGGATAACCCCTCAAAATCTAAAAAAAAGCTACTCCGTATATTCAAAGTTCAAAAATTTGTTTCTTGATATAAAAAAATATAAAAAAATTGTGTGTTGAAAACTGAGAAGAAAGTTTGTACTTCCCATACAACTTGGGTACTACAAGCATTATTTATTCTAAAACATGTTTAAAGATACAAAAATTTGATCAAAATGTATTTAAGGGATAGAATTTGGTTGTAAATCACTCATTATTCTTGTTTTAAAAGGAAAAAGTAACTGCGGATATTTTTTTGCGACGAACAATAAAGTAAAGAGTGATTTTGGGTTGTTCCAAAAGCTTGGTTAATCTTTAATTTTCTCTATCTAAACAAATTTTAATAAAAAAATTATGATTTCCAATTTACCAAAAAGTGACTCAAGTGATATTAGAAAGGATCTCATTAGAAATATACTACTTTTGTCTCAGTGTATTTGCCAAGTTTAACTTTTATAGTCAAACAAGACAAATTTTTATTATTAATGAAATAAATTAAGTTCACATTGTTTACTAATAAAATAAGTTAATTGTTTAAAAATATTCTATAATATATATATATATATATATATATATATATATAACTATAATCATATTGAATTATTTTTGTTTAATATGCGATTTAACTTTAGAAATTAATGATAAAAAATTATTTATACTTGAATGCAAAGAGTCAAGCTAAAAAATAAGAATATACTCTGACGGGATTTAGTCCAACAACTATGATGACACGAAGAAAAACTCTCAGTAATTTGCTCTTTAGTATTTTTTGTATTAAGTTAATTTAGCTTGACTTACAATAGAGAATTCATCTCCTGTTTGTAGTGTAACACTACTCTATACAATGTATGTCAATTTTGTGTCGTATTATTGGAAAGTGCGGCCGATCGTGCGTCAATTAAGGGTGAGAAATCCGTCTTCGATCTCCTCCAAATCCATACGATCATGGATGGGGATTTCGCTCCACGCATATCTTCCTTTTTAGCTCTTTGAGTTGGGTTCAACCTTTGGTATTTCTCGGTCTCTGGGCGCGCGTCTCTCTCTATAGTCTGGATCATGACCCTTATCTATGTTGGGCTTTAGAAGAACGTACTTGGGCCTTTTCAGCCCACTTTATAAACTCGATATCCATACTCCATAATTATGAGATGGAGGGGGGTAGTATTGATTTTAATGCTTTGGATATTACTTCGTATATCTCTATTCTAGAGTATTTCTTCTGTTTTGATCTTTTATAGTTAAAATAAAAAAAAATGGAATTAAACAAAAGTCGCTTTATAAATTATCAGATAGTCATAACCAGAGAAAAACGGAGTAGCCAACTCCGTTATACTTGGCCAAGTAATTAAATCTTTACTTACCATACCCGGAATGAATATTTACTTACATATATATATTTTGTGTGTTTACTCAGCTAAAATATTGATTATGTTCGAATACATGATCCCAAATTAACTGAACATCCTTTTTAGTGTTATTGACGCTATTATAATTTAATATTTGCTTATAATATTCTCAGTCTAATAACGCACAAAGAACCAATGCTATCATCTTCATTGAGGCTCGGACTTGCTCATGAATTCTGGGAAATGAGTTTCCTATTACCTAAACAAATATTGACCCGGTCAATAGTGTTGGATTTAGACTCACCATTTTCATTATTTGGGTATAGGATGCCATATATTCTTCACCTACCGACTACTCCTACTAGTCATTAAGTCAATAAAAATTTTGAATAAGTGGCACTGGCTTTTTGATAGCCAACTTGTCTAATGAATTAATAGTCTTTCAAATCGGTGCCAGCCTAATATATATATGAGTCAACGTATACCCAGTTGGGGATGCTCAATCATTGTAATTATATACTTCACGTCTAGTGTCATTAATAACTTGTTTAGCTCCTTAACAATAATTAAGAACGTAAAAAGATCTGTAATCTTGTCATCTTAGGATTGGACTTTTAACAATCATAACTATAAAAAAAATGAGGACATCCTGCAAAACAAAGGGCAAAGCATACACAAAGTATTTGTAGATGTTATATGTTTAGCATGGTAACCTCTCAATAAGTTTATCTACTTTGGCACTTCTTGCTCAAGCAATGATACTCCCTATACCCTTTACTCTTCATCCCGTTGTCATCTTTGTACTCATTATTTTTAAATTTTGACCATATATTATAAATAAAATTTGAACAATGACATGAATTTAATATCAATAGATTTATTTCGAAATATAGTTTTGAAATATCATACTTTTGTATTCTATATTTATTTATTTATATAGATATTAATGATTAGAACGTTGTATTAAAGACTTTAAAAAGTAAAATAGAAAGAAAAATATGGGACATAAGGGATAATTCAAGACAAATTTGTTTGACTTGAGAGTGTTGCATGTAGTAAAGACAATTTTCATTTTTTATTACTCATCAGTCTAAGGTGAAAATTTTATTTATCTTCTTCGATGTTATTGTTCAGAGCAAACTTTGGAAATTTTAGAGGTTAAATTTATCTTTTTGCAGTACTCTGTAGTTGAGTAAAATACATTTTTCTCAAATATATTAGTAATTCATTTAAAAACAAATAAATACTACCCCGTAGTACATTTTTAAAATTTGTCTTAACATAAAAGTTCATTTTTTAAAGAATGTAAAATCATCATTATTTCATTCTCTTAATAAAAAAAACTATGGCTCTCCAAAATGCAAAATCACATATTCAAATGGATTGTTTATGTCTCAATACATTACAATGTATGAACAAATATTATATTTTAATGGAAATATTAATAATAAAAAAGATAGTTTTAATTAATTAAAAATTAATATATAAAGTAATTTTTTTTTCGAAATTTTGTCTTTTAGAAAAAGGAAGAAAAGTCAAAAAATAAACAGATAAACCCAAAGATTCCTCACACGCCCTGACCCTCTATGCGCCTTATATATGCTCTGTCTTCCTATATCTCTCAGCAGTCTGCAGTAAGTACTACTGATTCAGCTAGTAGTAAATTAATCTCCGGCCACCATGACTAACGGAAAAGAAGAAGCCGTTAAGGTTTCTGGCCACATTCCGGCGTTTGATCCGGCGAAGAAGCCCCCAAGAAACAAATATGCCCTGGCCTGCTCTTTTTTAGCTTCACTCGCTTCCATCTTGCTTGGCTATGGTAATTGATTTTTCCCAAAAAATTATTAACACGTTGACATTTTTAAATCAAATTTTGATCACAAATTGTACAAAAACTTCATTTAATTATAGTGTAAATTTTATATAGTTTTGTGTTTTGAAGTTATAAGTTTGAATTTTTAATCGAATTGATTTGTTAAATGCAGATATTGGGGTGATGAGTGGAGCAGTCATGTACATCAAAGACGACCTTAAGATAACGGACGTCCAAGTGGAGATCCTCGCCGGGATACTGAACGTGTTCTCTCTGGTGGGTTCCGCCGCGGCCGGGCGGACCTCCGACTGGATTGGCCGCCGGTACACCATGGTGGTCGCCTCCGTGATCTTCTTCGTGGGGGCCATCCTCATGGGTTTCGCCACCAACTATGCTTTCCTCATGGTGGGCCGCTTCGTCGCCGGCGTCGGAGTGGGGTACGCGCTCATGATTGCCCCCGTTTACACCGCCGAGGTGTCTCCGGCGTCCTCCCGTGGCTTTCTCACCTCCTTCCCTGAAGTTTTCATCAACGCCGGTACCTCTATTTTTTCCTTGAGGCTGCAAATCTTGTACCAAAAATATTGTTTCACTTCAAAAAATAACATATAAAATTATATTCTTCAGAAATTACTTTCTTTATAAATTTATATAGAAATAAAATTTTAAAATATATATTTCAAAACTACTTTTAAATTCTTCAGGTATAAAACGAGAGGTTTACAAAAAAGAAAAAAAATATTTATATGAAACAAAAAATAAAATGATTGTTTCTATGATACCAAAAATAAAATGATTTCTATGGAACAAAAAAATAAAACAATTGTTTTATATTGCATCATCATATATCCAAACTATTACGTGTAGTCGTATACAACTGTGGAGTATAAAAGTAGAAAGAGAATATATCCAAATGGTCACCGACTTAAAACAGAGTATTTCGTTGCTGGTACATTTTCCCAATTTTATTACTCCCTCCGCCGCATTTTTTTTCGTTTGATTTTTCACAAAGTCTGTTTGAAAATAACGTTAGAGATTAGTATTAACATTTTGGATAAAACTTTAAAACATTAATACTAAACGCTGGCCGTAGTAAGCATTTTCAGAACACCAATGTTAATTTCTAATGCTATTCTCAAACAGGCCAATAGTCTACAAGATAATATTTGATTATAAATATCTTTATTATTAAATATATACGGAGTATAAAATATAAAAGTATGATATTTCAAAACTACATTTTAGAATAAATCTATTAATGTTAAATTTATAACACAATCCAAGATAAATATATAATTTATTTTTTTTAATTTTATACTGTGACAATTTTTATATAAATTAAATGAAAGTAAATTTAGAAAAGTATTGTACGGAGTACATCGCAATCCCAAAAGTCTATATTAAGAAAATTTGAGTTTTTTAAAAAAGAGTTTTTTGGTTGACATTTTTATGCAAAAGCTATAAAAAGACAAAAAAAATATTCCCCCCAACTGGTGAGGAACTGGTAAAACCATGTGAGAACTCAGAAGGAAGAATCAGAGTTGAATCTTCAATGCCAATTGGCAATTGCTAATAATTGAACTATTATGCCCATTTTTGTCACATATTATATCGATAATAATTACTCCCTAAATTTATATAGAAAAGAGAACATTAAAAAAATAAATAGTACTTAAATATAATAATGATTTTCTTTGAATTTTGACAGGTATTTTACTGGGATATGTATCCAACTTCGCATTCTCCAAGCTCCCGCTTCACCTCAGCTGGCGGTTCATGCTCGGCGTAGGGGCAATTCCGTCAGTCTTCTTAGGCTTCAGCGTTCTGACCATGCCTGAGTCTCCCCGTTGGCTCGTCATGCAGGGCCGACTCGGGCAAGCCCGCGGCGTTCTCAACCAGACATCCGATTCTCCCGAGGAGGCGGAGCAGAGGCTCGCCGACATCAAGGAGGCCGCCGGAATCCCGGAACACGTCAGAGACGACGTGGTTCCGGTGACCAAACGCCGAGAGGGGGCCGCCGGCGGGGAGGGGGTGTGGAGGGAACTTTTTGTCTCCCCGACACCGGCCGTCCGCCACATAGTACTCACCGGTGTGTGCATTCACTTCTTCCAGCAGGCCACCGGGATTGACACCGTGGTTCTTTATAGCCCGAGGATCTTCGAGAAGGCCGGGATAAAGTCTGACAACAACAAGCTGCTGTGCACGGTGGCGGTGGGGTTTGTCAAGACTCTCTTCATTCTGATTGCGACCTTCACTTTAGACAGGTTCGGGCGCCGGAAGCTGCTGCTGACGAGCATCGGCGGGATGGCGGCGTCGATGGTGTTGCTGGCGGCGGGGCTGACAGTGGTGGACCACACGGACCACAGGGTGACGTGGGCCCTGGTGCTGAGCATCACGATGGTGCTGGTCTACGTGGCGTTCTTCTCCATGGGGATGGGGCCCATCACGTGGGTGTATAGCTCGGAGATATTCCCGCTGCGGCTGAGGGCCACCGGGTGCAGCGTCGGCGTGGCGGTCAACCGCGTGACCAGCGGGGTGATATCCATGACGTTCATATCGCTGTACAAGGCCGTCACCATCGGCGGCGCGTTCTTCATGTACAGCGGGGTCGCCGTCGTCTCGTTCCTGTTCTTCTACGCGCTGATGCCGGAAACAAGGGGGAGAACGCTTGAGGAAATGGAGTCTCTGTTCGGGAGTTTCTTCAGGTGGAGGACCACTCTCAAAGAGCTAAATAATTTTGAGGCCGGCGCCGCCGTGAAGAAGGCGGCTAATCCGCCACCGCAGATTCAAATGTCGGGCAACACGGAGGAACAGCGCCGGCCGGAATAATCAGTATCTATATGATGATATAGTATAAGCTGTGGTTTTTAAGTGTAAGTGTGGGTTTTGATGTCCCCAATGAAAGGTCAAAGGACATTCATATATGAAGTCAAAGTAGGGGGAGTTCATGTAGTCATCCACTATATGTCACGGAGTACAAAGTAATTAAGTTTACATTTGCAAAAAAACTTGTTTACGCTGCAGCATTGAGTACATATATCAATTTCACTTATGAAGTAATAAGTATACTACCATATGTTTTAATTTATCTGATTAGTACCACCACTATAACAGTTCAATATCCACCGCCACCACTATTCAATATTTATCTCTATGTTATGCACGAATCGCAATCAAGGATCAATAATGTTACGTAACCATGACACCAACAAAAAATTGATTGGCCCATCGATCATCCGATTCGTCTCGTTCATGATCTGGCTACAGAATAGACAGATCAATGAATTGAAACTATTTACAAGTCTATAAGGCATGCAAGGTGCGATAGTTCATGCCATGTTCGTAGTTTTCCTATAAAACTACCAGAGTGAGAAGCATGCCTAGTTTATCTTTGGGTGTGGTTGTCAACCGTGATTTTTGATTAACGTTAGTATTTGAGATAAATTTTGAACGGTGCAAATCAATATTGGAAAATGTTAAAATTAAATATTATTTTTAGATAACTATTTTCAAGACATTAAAGCTAAAGGCAAGAGTTAATTACCAAACCGGCCTTTTTTTCTATATAAGATAATTGTAATTTGATTCCATGATTATTGATGGTGTAAATTACTTGACCGGTCAAACTATACTAGACCGGGTCTAGAATAGTTGGCTTGATTTCGTAAAGTAAAGAAAGTAAAAACACTCGGAACGACCGGTAGGACTTTAGGTGGAACACCTGTAGCCCGAATTATATTAAAACAAGGAATGCACGGTCACTTTTACAAGGGAGTTTAGAGAGAGTGAATTCGGATCCCCCTTCCTGAGGTTTACATGCGTATTTATACTAGGCTAAAGGGGGACAAGACCGCGTGCACCCACGTGGGATCATGCTGCCGCAGGTGGGAGGTGACTGCTGAGCTGCCTTGTCCTTTTGCGCGGGGGGCTGCGCCTTTGTCGCGTTCTGACTTGGAAATGTTCCTTCGGCATCTCTGCAATTCCAACCACTACAGTCCAAGTCCTTTTGGATTCCTCCTGCTGACACTCTCCGATCTTCGGAAACTAGACCGGGAAATCTTTTAGGGTTGGTTTGGCTAACTTCGGAGGATGAATTTAGGCGATGGAATAGTTTGACCGGTATACTAATCCGAAGTATACCGGTCAACTTTCTGGTCAACCAGCCATTCCTTTGCTGACGACTCAGATCTCCCTTTCAAGTTTGACTTCTTTGACCGGTCAACTTTCGGATTCGGACCCTTGACCGGTCATGGGTGAAATATACCCATCAATAAGCCCTCCACTTCTCGGTTATGCAATTTTGTCATAAGCGGGAAGTAAAAATCCAAGAGGTATATTCAAAACTCAAATTTCTGGCTTTTCCCGCTCGAATATTTCAAATTCAAAATTTGAACTGTCGGTTTTGACACGTGTTGGGCGCTGGCCATGGCAGTAGTCGCGTCCTTTCGCCTTCCCATGTGTGATGATTACGCCGCCTTACGCGGCGTGCTCCGCTCGTGCCACGTCGCCTTCTTCTCTTTCTTCCTCGCCTATATAAAGGCCTCCAACCCCATTCTTTTCTTCACTTCTTCGTGCGCGTCTCTCGAGTTTCACCGGTCAAGCTCCCTCTAGCCTTCCAGCCCTCCGAGCCAAGTAAGCTTCCTTCTTTCTTAGTTTTTCCTTTCTTTTCTCTGCCTTTCTCCCCGGTCAATGTCTTCCCCTGATAGCCAAGATATCTCTGCCTCGGATGCCCGCGCATCCGAGGAATCCCTTCCTCTTCTTCTTCGACCGGGTCATCTTCTCCCATCCCTAAGTCCCGGTCGAATCCCAACCCTAGCATCCCTGAACCGCAGCCGTTAAACCAGATGCCCGGTCACCTTTTTGCGGAGAGGGAGGAGCCGGTCGATGACGAACCGGCCCCCTATGACCCGGAAAAAGAGACCAGGGATCAGTGGGTAGAGAGGTTGGATGCAGCCGGTTACTCTCCCCTTCCTACCTCCTTCGTTACAGACATCTACCCCAACGTTTCCAAAATAGCTCTGAATAAGGCCCGTAGGAATCTACCGGCGGGCTATGTTCTTGAATATGACGAGAACTGGTCCAACATAATCAGGCCTCACCGGGAGGATAGAATAGGTTTTCATATTGCTTCCTTAGAGAGTGGTATCGTTTTTCCCCTTCGCCCCCTCCTGGTAGAGCTTTGCCACTGCTTTAGGATTCTTCCCGGTCAGATCACTCCCAACGCCCACCAGTTACTCAATTCATTTGCTAATATCTGCGCCCACCTTCACATCGACCCCTCTCTTCGCCTCTTCCTATACATGTTTGAGGTTCGACCCGGTAAACCGGGTTGTGAAGGTTTCGTCTATTTCAAAGGACGAAACAACCGTAAGTTCATCTCTGACCTTCCACAAAGTAATCGTTTGTGGAAGGAAAAATTTGTTTTCATAAAATTTCCTCCCTCTGTCACTCCTTTGGCCGGCCTGAAGTGGAGCGACCATCTCCTCAAGCATCAATTCACCGAACCGCCGGCCACCCCGGATCTGGAAGAGAGCCAGGAACTACTTCTTAAAGGGGACCCCTACACCGGTCAGATGTACCACTACGGGGGTTGGGTGTGGCGCGTCCAACCGGGTGGCGAGGGCACCTCCCGGGCCAATGAAGCAGCGGGGCGCGGGGGACCCTCCCCGGGCGACACTGCGGAGGCTGGAGGCCCAAGTCACCCAGGTACCCGTCTATTTCTTCCCTTTGTTTTTCTGACTGAACCGGTCGTGATTTGAACACTTAACAATATTTTGCCTGTTTCTGCAGATATGAATTTCAGGGCGTACAATATGCCAAAGACTACCGGTGGATCTTCAGCTACCGGTCCACAAACCTCAAAAACAGAACCGGTCCAGAAGGAAACTATCGAGGTCCACTCTGAAGAGGAAACTCCCAAGACCAGTGGAGTTCCTCCGACCGGGAAGGAACCGGCGAACTCTCCCCCCACTAAAGGGAAAGGGAAAAAAAGAGTAAAGCATGCGGCCACCACCCATCCATCGGTCAAGAAGAGAAGGGGAGAAAACGCCCCGGCTGATGAGTCGCTGGAGGAGCTCTGGGTCAAACTGACCCTTAAGCTGAAAGAGGTAACACTCATCCGGTATGTCGTTTTGAATTTGCCACTTGATCGTTGTACTAACCGGTGTACTTGAAAACTAAAAATTCTCCCGGGGATGCCCGGTGTACTTGTAAACAATTAACTCTTGTTTTGTTTGAATGCAATGTTTAATTTCCGTACCGGTTAATCTTCCATTTCTGCTTCTTAATTGATATTTTGCCACATCATAGGATATTTTACCGGTGCACAAGTTAAGCCACTTCGACTAACTTGACTGGTTGAACTCCAAATTGTTTTCGGATGTCTCTAGGTTGAAAGGGCAACTTGAATAAACTTGACCGGTCGAACTCCAACTTTGACCTGTTTGACTCCAACTTGCTGGTCAACCCGAGAATGCTTGACTGGTCGAACTTCATCTTGTTTTTTGAACACCTTCATCACGGTGGTCAACTTAAAAAGTTTGACCGGCTGAACTTTCCTTTGGCTTTTGGATACCTGCGTTCGATGAAGTAGAGTATGACCGGTACGTTCCCATCTCACGGTACGACCGGTCAACTGCTTTGCCTTGAAGAACTTCCGAAGTTCCGCTGTAACAATACCCAACCGGGGTATTCTTTTTTTTTTTTTTTTTTGACCGGTAGGTTGTAGGTGGAACACCTGTAA